AGAAATCCTTCAAATTTATGCTGATGCCATTCACAACAAGGGTGCCCCACTGGATAACTGCTTTGGGTTTGTTGATGGTACTGTTCGACAAATTGCGCGGCCAAAGTATCACCAAAAAGTTATGTATAATGGTCATAAAAGAGTCCATTCAATTAAGTTTCAAAGTGTTGTTCTACCCAATGGTCTCATTGGAAACCTTGCTGGTCCCTATGAAGGTAAACGACATGACAGTGTGATACTCCAAGAATCTGGTCTCTTAACAAACCTACGACAGATTGCCTTCTACAACAACAACCCCCTTTGCATATATGGTGATCCTGCTTATCCACTGGGTGTTCATTTGCAAGCACCATTCAGGGAAAGAGAGCTTACACCGGCAATGGCAGAGTTCAACAGGGAGATGAGCCGGGTTCGAGTCTCTGTCGAGTGGATGTTTGGAAATATTACTAAGTATTTCAGCTTTGTGGACTTTAAAAGGCAAATGAAATTGCATCTGAGTCCTGTTGGAAAAATCTACACTGTGGCAGCATTGTTGCAGAATGCTCATACCTGCTTGTATGAGAACATTGTATCTCATTTTTTTGATCTGAAGCCTCCTTCAACCATGAATATTTCTGGTAATACACATTCACTTAGTCTTAGTTGTGAATTTTAAAAAAATGCCATGAGCTACCTTGAATAAATTATTGCAGGAAATAAATTTGCATGGTAGTATAGCAGGTCAAATTGCAATGGGCTATTCCAATTATTATCCGCATCCCCCTTGTTGAGGAACCTTGGAATTTCCAGGGGAGGGGATGCATTAACCTTGGAATTTCAAGGGGAGAGGTGCATTAACTTTAAATTTCCATGGGAGGGGGTACATTAACCCTGGAATTTCCAGGGAAGGGGCATTCAGGCTCTGGAATTCCAAGGGGAGGAGTAATTCTCACATGAAATTTCCAGAGGGAGGGGTAAATTTTACATGAAAATTTGCAGAAATTCCAGGGGAGTACCGACATGAGAAAGGGGTTCCTCAACAGGGGGTGCGGATAATAATTGGAATACCCTAATGCCTAGCTTTGCCGCAAGTCTAATGCCAGATGATTTAATTGTTGATTGGCGAGTTATGCAGCTTAATGGTCAAGACTCAAGTATCAATTTGTTTAGAAAATTCTTGGTAACCTTGGCACCTTAAAATTGAATCACCAAAAACATTCTATTTTAATAAAACACATATTTAATGTTGTATTTTACACACAACTTAATCAGGTTATTCAACTGCTATAGAAACAATAATTTTATAAGAAATATATTAATTGATGAACATTGTTAACTATTCAAATAATAGTATAAAGTCCAGTTTAAAGTTATAAATAGTTGTTATAATGTTTCAGCATTAACTGTAAATGTGAAAATTACTTACAATGTCTAATAACTATAATTTTTTCTCCAACAAATTTACCAACACATTTGTTTGCTGTTGCTGTTGTTGCATGATAGCAATCATTTGCTGCTGTAGAAAGTTAAATTCTTGTTGATGCTGTTGATGTTGTTGTTGTTGTTGCTGCAATTGTTGCTGCACGAACTGGTCAGACAGCTTCATCTGCATCGCAAACTGTTGTTGTGTCTGGTGCATGGCTTGCGTCATCTCTTCTTGCTGGACTCTCTGAACTTCATGGTATTCTCTTTCTTCTTCTCGTTTTGCCTTTTTTTCTTCTTTCTCCAACTCTACCCTTTCTTGCAACCATTTCATCATGTCTCCTGACATTCTCCTCTTTTGTTCTTTTCCACTACCTTCACCGTTCTGTCTTGTCCTCTTCCTAGTTTGTCCAAGTGTCTCCATTGCCCGTTCTCTCATCTCCAGTGCCTGACCTCGCTCTTGTTCAATCCTTTGTTGGTTTTCTTCATTTTCACTTTCAACCTGTCTTTCCATCTCCCCTTCAATATGGATCAATTCCTCCAACAAACTTTCAGCCTCCACTTTCACCCGTTGATCTTTCTTCTTGTGCCATTCTTGCCCTATACTATTTTGCCATCACATTGTAGTGATCTCTGACTGCCCGTGATGTGACTCCTTGCCCTAGTGCAGTGATGTTAACGGCAATTCTTTGCCACTGCATACCACGCTCTCTGGACCGGGGTTTATTTGACATAACACCTTCTGCTGCAATTTCTTTCAGTAGGATTAGATCTTTTGCCTTTAACCATACCATGCTAGAAACAGTGAATATAAATGTAAACAAACAATATCAATTTTTCTGGAATCACAAGGCTATGGATTCGATTTTTTAATACCAGAGAACCTAGTGTTGCATTTTCTGCAATCGTTCCTGGTCAGGTCTTAAATTGCGAATGTACTCACTTGGATTATAAACCCAACACACCATACTAGTTCTACACACCAAGTGAAGTCATCATTCATTCAAGTGTTTAATACTCTACCATTGTTGAAGTTAGTTTGATTTGTTTACCTTTTCTTCGGAGATTTCTTGTTCTCTTCCAGTTGTAAAACAGACATCGCTGCCCCTAAAAAGATAACAAAAAACATTGCACTATTTTATTACTACAGTACATACTTTCAATATTGTACTTTATAAATACAGCAATACAAATTACAAAACTATAAAAAGTAAATAAAATCGATTGAATATCAACTGTAAAACGATTGCCCATAAAACGATATATCAAATAATAAAATGCAAGTTTAAAAGTTAGATAAGTAATGTCGTTCTTATCGGCATCAAACTACACAATATGTTGTTTCTTGTTGTGTTTGTTTTGAGACATGATTAGCCATATTCCGTAAAGCCGGAAACAAATTTGGTGCGTCTTACTATGTTAATTATGCGCATATTAAACATCATACGTTCATATTATTTCGAAAATAGAGAAAAATAATAGATTACCAACATCACTGATGCAAGTTTTATCATGTACATACCTTTTTCGTCTTTAAAAAATCAAGAAAAAACTGACGTCCTAAACACGACGTGAAAGATTGATTTTGACGTCCTGAAAAGTGCTAAGACGACGTCGCCATCGATGACAACGCCACACTTTCGCGGCATATGACGCCATCCCGCGTCCTCTTCACGTCGACGTCCTCGATCTAAATCTGTCTAGTGTGATGAATTCACGTCCTTTGACTCATGTTAGCGGAGATCCAAACGACGTACCAGTGTTAACACCAAACCACTTCTTAATCGGTCAACCAGGAGGTGATGTTGCGCCAGAGAGTGTCGACTACACACCGTTTAATCCCAAGAAACGTTGGAGGCGCGTGCAGGAGCTTATACCCAAACCTGGAAACGCTGGATGCAAGAGTACCTTATAAGTCTTGGGTCCCGATCAAAGTGGTTTAACACGCAAGATAATGTCAAGAAAGGAGATATGGTATTAGCTATCGATCCAGGAATACCGAGACTACAATGGAAATTGGGGAAGATTGAAGCAGTTTAGCCTGGAAAGGACGGTAATGTTCGTGTAGTGAGAGAAAATGATAAGATCTACAGACGGTCCATTGGACGCGTATCGCCATTGGAATTTTGAAATTATTAGAAGGCGGATCACAAGAAATCCGGGAGGAGGAGATGTCGGAGCGAAAACGAACAGATGACATACTAACGCCATTTTGGTGATATATATATAAAGCTACGTTAATTAGTGGGAAAAAAGAACGGAAAACACATGGCCGCGTTATATTTTGTTATTTATCATTTTTATTAAATATTTGTTTAAAAAGCAATTCAAAAGGTGAATTTTTAGTGAACCAGCATTTAAATGTAAGTCTCGACTACAAGCTGAGCATGATCATCATGCAATTCATTTGCATGCCCCCCATTAAATGTTATTTCGTGTGCTATTGTGGTTAAATTATCTTTCAAACTGGCCTCATTTGGCAGTTGTCATACATGTAACAAATGTATGTAACATTCGCAAACAGCATCCTGGAAACACCTACAAAACAGAGAATGGGTTTATTAATTAAAATGCAATGTCAAAGATGGTTGAAAGTAGGCATCCTGTTGCTGTCGTTATGGCAAAAGACTAAGATGTTTTAGCTGTTTTAGCTTCTTCCATTGATGACCTAGATATTTGGTCAACTCATCAAAGTTGTGTTATTTCACCAAAGGAACTCGCTCTTGTACTGGAGCTCTTCAACAAATCTATTTTTTGGTAAACAGCAAAACAAAAATGATATTCTCTAGCATTCCAGTCCATCAAAGTGTACTATACTTTATAATAATCGACTTCAAACAATAGGTTCTGCATTGGATGTATTTTCATGCATGCTGTTTGCGGGCTCTAAGTATTTGTCTATCTAATAATTTGTATGTGGGAATACACACGTAAAACGCACAACTTACTGTACATAACAAACACACAGCAGGCAACTTGATAAAATGACAACACTGTTACTTTCAACCTGTTGACAAGCCTGCCACTCCTGCTAGTACAGGCCACTATGAGATCAGTGATTCAGTGGTACATGCATGTTGCGAAGATATCTTGTTGACAAACTGCACGAGTGAGAATTTTAAGTGCATGTGTACAATATTGTAGTAGGTAAAATAGATTCGTACAGCCCGAAACACTAGCAGCGTCTGCTAAGTTTAATCTACAGACAAAAATTGAACATTTGGGTCTAAGACAATTAATTAAGCTATTATTCAGAGCTTTATAAACTCATGAAAGCAAATTGGTTGCTTCTATTTTGAACACTAAAAAGGTCAAGGTTTTGATGTACATTATAATGTTAGCAGAAAGAAATAAAGCCATTTACCTGACTGATTTTTATCGTTAAAATCCGTATAAATCCACCATAACAACTCGTAATCTTGAACTTTTTGCAGCTAACATCCATCCGAATCGAGTTGCAAATCGAGATTCTTGCTGGCTTTGTATAGCTTGGGCAAAGGGATTGGCACTAATGCATGCACACCTGAGCGTCAAGAATAGTGTGCTGCTTCCCTACGGTCGGCAGCAAAAACATTCAGAGCCAGGAGTGTTGTTACATTACTGCCGTTACTGGCGTTAGGAATGGCTAAGCACAGTTAATCCACGTTTACTGCGATGAAAAATATGCTGCTGTCACGTGACCAAATTTGCATTTTTTCGGACAACTTTCGCACTCCGCTATTCAAAGTGTATACACGTGCCCGATATAAACAAGCGAAAATATCGCAAAATAAGGACGATTTGAAAGTTGTATTTTTCTATTTGTGGGTATATTTTAACTCCTGTAAGTGTAATATACCGAAGAGAAAAATGTCTTGTTGTATGGATAAGGAGAATAAGCGTGTTTCGGACATGACTGTTGCCGAACTAAAGGAGTATTTGAAAATGCGTAGCGTTACTGCAAGCGGCTATTTAAAACCTGCTTTACTTCAAATTGCTCAAGCAGTGGAGAAAATGATGTTGCCGATTGACCCAAATCATGAATATGGAAATTCGGATCTCAAGAACGCAAGAGAAACACTTATTATTCATGATATGGTGATACGTCAGCCATTGTTATATCCAGTCGTGAACGACTTTATAGATTCGCCACCCTTTAGCCTGCGAACAGGCCCTGGGTTGCGGGCGGCGCGAAGAATAGAGGGCCTGCACGGAACTATAGGTTTTCTTGGTAGTGGCGTTCGTATAGAAACGCAGGCTTCTGATTGGCTTACACTCGTTGACAAAATTACTAAAAATAGCAAATGTCAACAACAGCATTTTGAAGAATTTGAACTTTATTCATTTTAATATTATATTATATATTATAAGACTATCGAACAAATAACACTAGAAATGGAAACCAAAAGCAATAGCAAAGCATCACAGCAAAAAAGTATATCATAAATGACTTGAATCTATCGCTTAAATTCAATACTATAACAGTATTCTGAACTTCGTCTTCGGATTGACATCAGACTATAGTACTACATTTTGAGGTCGTCGTGGCTTCACGGATTATTCTCATTAGTGAGCAAGTCAGCAAGCGAAGGCATACAAAAGATACCCAAATATGTACGAATAATTATATTGTTGATCCTCGCTGGCATGTCATTTAGATAAATATATATCGTACATTAAACGTTGTACTATTAACTGTATAAACTGCTGACAATTTCGTCGTCGATACGGCTTCCACTATTGGCACACTCGTGATTTCGAAGAAATTAATAAATACATGCTCATTTATCATTTATTTAGACCACAGTTAGTAAAATTTTAGACGTATTTGGTATTCCAAACCCCAATCTATCTGACCGTATTTTAGTAATAGCTTCAAATATTCAGAACATTGTTCTTTCAGTCGCACATAGTACAAGTATTACTGTACATTCAATGCCAATGGTAGTATTTTATTCGGCTTTATATTTGTATGTGTATTGATATCTATTTAATATTTGAAGAATTCTATATTTTTCCGAGTAATATATTGTGCGGCCCGCTAATGCTTTGTATTATTGTTCACATAACATTATGTATACATTTTAATATTCAGTATTTCTTGTACACCGGCAGGGTGCGATAATTCAATATTTTTAGCCGTACCTGACTGGTACTCCGACAATTTTTGCCGCGTACCTGATCTGGTACAGACTTGACAGTCAAGACCTACCTAAGACTACTTCCGAGTCAGGCGTTTTTATACCTATATGTATAGTTTACTGGTCCAAAAGCAAAAAATGTATGTGCAATTTTGTACGAATGAATCTTTAATTATGGTATTTGTATAACATAAGCCTCGACGTTGTGACTCGAATGCCGTCGCTCATTTACAGTGGATTTACCGATGGTGCTAACAGTCTGACCTCAGCTACATACAGTGTAGTTTTCCTCATTGGGCCTAAAAAAACGTCGCACGGTCAATCGTGTTGAAAAAAATAATAGGGTGGGCAGAAAAACATAGGGTCGGTCGGAAAACCGCAGGTATTTTTTTTAGACCTTGGTAATAGCATTGACAATTACTTGTAACTTGTAAACACGCGATGATTGGTAAAAAATTATGTAAGTTGGTGTCCACACTACAACGAAAACGATAAAATTATCGGCGTTTGACGATAACGGTTTTAAAATCGCTCACACGAGCGATTTTTTTCAGTCGGACAATGACGATAAATTTTTTGATCAAGCGCAAAGATAACCTTTTGGCTTTTTTCATCCCAAAATATGTCGGATGCGTGGAATTTTACATGTACAGCTAAAGTTCAGTTTACAGTTTTGAATACTTTGGCAGGTCTGCTAGTTATTGCTAGAAGGAAAATGTAAGTACGCGAACAGCAAATTTCCGCGTACCTACGTGGTACTTGCCTAAAAACAAAGAAGTACCAGACCATAAATTTGGCGTACCTCCGGTACGTTGGTACGCGAATTATCGCACCCTGGTACACGCCTTGCGTCAATTTGACAGTTGACAGTTTATTTATCGCAGTCGACGCTGATTGGTTCGCGTTTAGCAGATGCGAAAAGGGGATGATTGAATAAAACGCATGGTTCCGTGCAGGCTCACCTTTCTCCCAGTGAGCCTGTTCGCAGGCTAGCCACCCTTCGGTTTGTATATTTTTAACTATTTAATATACAGCTCAGCTGAGTATGATAAACAGGGACTTGCCTCATATAAATCATTCGAAGATTATAGAGGCTGCAAGCACATCGCAGCCTGTTTGTATTCGCTGGAGGATGTACTGCATAATCGCGAGAGTGTAACATCTGGTCCATGCCAGGTCATTAGTAGAAAAGCAAATATATTGATTATAAAATATAACTTACTTTATTCCCATCAGCTGTAGCTCGTATCGGATCAGGATAATCCGCTGTGGGTCCATTTTCGACAATAAAATGAAAACCGCATATATAGCTGTCTTTCCGACAGACGAACTTGTCGACTCGACAACATGCATTTATCCAAATTTACCTTCTTTCCTTAGATTTCTTCTCACTTCGGAAACTGTAGAAAGATACTGAAGTCCCATTGTTTTTTAAGCGTGCTGGATACCTCGAATCGCTTTTGCATATTCCCCAAGCACATCTCTTTACCATAATTTGTGAACCGCTTATAGTATAATCATGGATAGTATAATCGAGGCCGTCAAGCGAAATATATCCCTATATTTTCGTACCCACACAACGGGAAATTTTTCTCTTTGCTACATATTACACTTACAGGAGTTAAAATATACCCACAACTACAAAAAAAAAACCCTTTCAAATCGTCCTTATTTTGCGATATTTTCGCTTGTTTATATCGCGCACGTGTATACACTTTGAATAGCGGAAAGTTGTCCGAAAAAATGCAAATTTGGTCACGTGACAGCAACATATTTTTCATCGCAGTAAACGTGGATTTGAAAGGTTTTTCAACCAAAAATATTTTACACACGGGGAGCAGCTGGAAAAAATCCTGCGGCCCTGCGATTCTAGTGCAGCGTTCTGATAGTACAAACAGTTATGTTATGACTTATAACAGTTATAAGTTATAGCCTACATGTATTCTTTTGACCACAATAAAACTACAGTGCTTATCAAAGTTTAACCAAACGATATTTGATAAGCAGTTTTACGCAAATTTTTAGCATTGTGAAAAATGCTTTACTGTCGATGCAATAGAAGTGTTGATAAAATATTGCATCAATTCCTTTCCTCAAGTTGATCAATTCATTTGATAGAAAATTGATCAACTTCCTGTTACTTCTAAATGAACCAATTAGATTTCGTTTCAGAACCGATTGGCCAATAGGAAACGCACAGGAAGTAAAAAGAAATTTGAATTCGTATGAATTGATCAACTTGAGGAAATGAATCGATGCAATATTTTATCAACACTTCCATTGCATCGACAGTAATCGATAACTCATAACTCGTAACCCAATATCGAATTTTTATCTTATCGAATACGGAAGTTAGCCCTTTTTGAATATACATACTAAAACTTACTGCAGTGCCAGTGTATAGTTTTTTTTTCACGTTACATAGTATGTCATGCCGGCATTAAATTAAACAGCGTATTAACTCTTTTAGGTGACCCACGGTACATTTGCATTTTAATGATGTACTGTTTCAGTACAGTTAAAACTTTTTTATCTTAAACTCGTCTCAAGGACAAGGTTTTTATCCACTATTATGAGCAATGAACAATGAATTTTTTTCTTACTTAAGATAAACAATTTCCATCAACAACTTTGCATTTGATAATTCCTGCAGTGAGTTGATTTGAGAACTCTTGTTTACTGTGTTCACCTGAAAACGAAAAAAAAAAGAATACTGCATGCATAAATTGCATTGAATGAGGTAAGTAAGTTAGAATTATGTAGTATCTGAATATATTTGTGATCATGAGACATGACCATCAGAGTTATTTCTTCATGATGCCTTTGCTTCCAACATTTCAAGCACCATCCAACCCTTCAGGTATCCGTTTGAAGTCCTGGCTAATAATAATTTGGGTATGGTCAATACTGTTTTGCTCTACTGAGGCTCCGGCTATTATTAATTGATGAGCGAAGCGAGTATGCAAAGAATGGAAGGTCGGAGCTTCAAGGGCGCTGTGAGTTGAGTGGTGGGCAAAGACTTGCAAGCTTTGTCTATTTGTAATTTGGTATATTGTCCGAGTATAAGACTAAAAAGTACTGAGACTAAAACAATAAAAGATTAAAGAGTACTGCATGGGCTAAACATTTCAGCTTGTCATGACTGCAAGTACCTGCGAATTACACACAGCCTCTGGCGGATGGCTGTCGTCTTCTTAGCGCTGGCGAAATTCGCCGTTCACCGACCTAAAACAAGATGGGTGACTATCCCGCGGCGAATTGTGTTTAATAGCAGACGTCATAATGCAGGGCTCGAAATAGCGGGCTGCCAATAGGCATGCAATGGCAAAATATTTTAGAAATGGCAGGGAAAAACAAATTTGAACTGCAAAGTCAAAAAAATGGCAGGTGAAATTCTATAGTCAGTATAGATATATTTCATTTAATTTACTAATATTCATATATATTTCATTTAATTTACCATGCACAACTCATATATACTACATCATTTAGTTAATTGACTAAATACGTTTATATTTGAAATGTAAATCCAAGTTTACTGTAGTAAAATAGACAAGTTTAAAAATAATAAAAATGCATATCATGAAAACATTGATTTTTATAATATGACTCATATGAGAAATCGCCATTTTGGCAGTTCAATGTCGACAATGAATATAAATGGCAGGCTAAAATTGAGCCCTGCACAATGTCAATGCATTAGTCTGACTTATGTTTGGGAGACGTTCTAAATAGTTAAACATGCGAGGTCAGTGTGACCAGATTTTTCCTGCCAGGGTTATTACTAAACTTTGTGTTCAAAATTTACTAAATCGGGTGGGTGGGCGGTGAAACAGGGGGCCAGGTAGTGCTGTGCAAACTCCGGTTTTCTCATGCCTCTGGCTCCAGCTCCGGAAAATCGGAAATGCCGAAAATTCGAAATTTTACATTTCAAAGTGGAAGCACCATCTTTGCTTTTGTTGCATGCCATATACAGGGTGTCCCAAAAAAAAGTGACACAGAACTATAGAAATTCTCTCATTGTTCTTAAGCCGCTCTTAAACGCGCGTGATTACACGCCTGGGAATTTAATGAACTTGTATTTACATTTAAGCATTTTAAAACGTTTTCGCTTTGTCCAAATATTTTAACGCCCGAGTCAAGCAAAACGATTACACTAATAAACGGTTTGCTTTTTTATTTTAAATTCCAGAAGCAGAAGTTTATGCACCTGTGGGATCAACTTAGTGCTAGGGCATTCAAATTATAACAATAGGATAATTTCTATAGTGTCACTTTTTTTTGGGACACCCTGTATATGGCATGCAACTTTCATATAGCTCTAAATTTCGTGTCACGGTGAGCGGTGGTGAGCGTACCAGTCACGTGGCAGATTCGTTAAGACGACTAATACCGAGTTTTTCCGACTAGCATTTTCATGCCGGGTTTTCGTCGAGGAAACGCAAAGAAATATTGATTATTTGCCGAAAATTTACATAATTGAGCGCCTTAGAAAAATAAATCGAGGTAGGTAAAGCTTTACTGTTTTTAACTTACCTTATATTCTGTTATTTGTTGTGATTTTGGAGCCGTTGTGCTCGCATTGATTATTTATCAATTATCAGGCGTTTATATTTATATATCGTGAAAGCCTCAAAGTCCACGCTATCAAAACACTCGATTTTTATATACTCAAACTGAAACGGAGCCATTGTGCTCGCACTGATTATATTCTGAGCGAAGCTTCAAAACTACAGCACATTTTGTATAATTTTAAATATAAATATCAAACAAAATTTGAATTATAAATAGTATTGAAATTTAATACTAATAGTTAACAGCGTCCAGATTTCAAGACGTGTTGAAAAAGTGCAAAGAAGAGCGACTAGGTGGATAACAATGACAAAGCGAGGCGAACTGTCGTACAGAGAACGGTTAGTAGCATTAGATCTGCTACCGTTAACCTATGATCGAGCAGTCAGAGACTTGGTGTATTTCTTCTAATCATTGACATTGTTTAGTTACATTGTCATTGACGTCAATATCGATAACTATCAGTGTCGTTTGTGAGTCATGGTCGTACTAGACTGAGCCATACGTCAAGATATATCCTTCAAAGTAAACTCTGTAAAACTAACATTTTCCAGTCTTCATACTACAATCGTGTTGTAAAGATTTGGAACACAGTGTGCCAAGAAGTCTCACCTGACATTTTCCGTAATCCAAACTCGTTTAAACACTATCTTAAACGTAGATACTATACATTAATTAGTAATGTTTATGACGTAGACATGGCTTGTACGTGGTCATTAACTCGTGATTGTCCTTGCCATAGGACTTAATACCACAAGTATAAATATATATGTGTGTGTATATTTAATTAACTATATCTAAACTAATTACGGGGAGCACCTCGCATGGGACTTTTAGTGTCCCGTTTGTGCTTTTCCGTTACAGTGTATCTACTAATTTGTGATTTGTGATTTGTGACGTGTGTTTTGTCTTTCGTTTGTCAAGTTTTTATCTTTGTACCTAATATACAGGGTGTCTCAAAAAAACCCAAAATCATTGAAATTGACGTATTGTTCGATATTCAATGCCCTAGCACTAAGTTAATCCCACGAGTGCATAAAAGATTGACATAACTGCTGTAATGAATGGTAATACTCAGCGTAAACTTGTTATGTCAGGCATAAAGTACTAAACCCACGAATTTACGAAGCATTTTTAAATTCCCATGAGCAAACAAACGTTCACTCTACAAAGATATTTTAATTTTTTAAAACAAATTAATCACCCTGTCAAAATCCTTTGTGTTACGGCATTGAAATTCGAACAATACGTTATTTCAATGATTTTGGTTTTTTTTGAGACACCCTGTAGTACGTATGTAGATTGCTCAATAAATTCATTAAATTATGCTATAAATAATTTCCAGACTGAATGTTGACTTCACTTTTTAAATAAACGTGACAGGCTTAAATTAACAGTTCCTATTGCCTATTGGATAGATTTAATTGGATATAAGTAATGTTTATGCGAAGTCAACTTGACAAGAGCGAAAAGTGGGCATATTTCGTTTCTTGATGTGTTGTCAGCAGTCCCTCCTTTCCCCTCTCCCACTCGGGAAGCTAAAACCGTGGAAAGGAGGGACCGCTCACAGTCCAAGTTTAATTGTCTTGTATATATGTACAGATTGCATTGAGTGTTAACGCTGTAACATATTTATGTCGTAAATGACATTTTCGTCATAGACTTTCAATCTTAAAAGCTTTCTGTAATTCAAGTTCTCTAGAAAATGTAGTAATTTGACATCATAGTGCTCATCCCGGGAGGTTGGCAAGTGATCTAAGTTGTCCAAATAGTGGACCATATAAACATGGATAGGCTATATGAGAATGTTAGGGTTTGTAATCCAAGTGAGAATATAATATATACATTTTAAG